CGGAAGATGTCGAGTTTGTCGCGGTTGATGTGGGACAGCAGGCGGTACGACTGTCGCACCGGGTGTCCGTCCGGGGTGCGGCGGCTGTCCCGCATCAGGTAAACGCAGTCACCTGGGGGGAAAAAACATAAAAATATACCTGAGAGGAGGCTGGGCTGAGCCAGAACCATGGGGGAAATCAGCATTAAAGATAATTATCAAAACCTTGCTCTGGAGATCCCAAATCACAAAACTTAGATCCCAAATCATAAAACCTTGCTCTAGAGATCCCAAATCACAAAACCCAGACCCCAAATCACAAAACCGTGTTCTGGAGATCCCAAATCACACAACCGTGTTCTGGAGATCCCAAATCACACAACCTTGTTCGAGATCCCACAAAACCTTGCTCTGGAAATCCCACATCACAAAATCTAGATCCCAAATCACAAAACCTTGTTCTGCAGATCCCAAATCATAAAACCTTGCTTTGGAGATCCCAAATCACAAAACCTAGATCCGAAATCACACAAAACCTCGTTCTGGAGATCCCAAATCACACAAAATCTCATTCTGGAGATCCCCAATCACAAAACCTAGATCCCAAATCTCACAGAACCTTTTTCTGGAGATCCCAAATCACAAAACTTAGATCCCAAATCACACAAAACCTTTTTCTGGAGATCCCAAATCCCAAAACCTCCCCTGGGCAGCACTAGCGGTCCCAGAGCAGCAACTCAGGAGGAGGAAGAAGAGGAAGGGACGAGCCATGGAATGGGATCCCCATTTTTTGTGCTGTCCCTGCCCTTTGTGCCCTTCATGGGTGTCCAGAGCCAAAAGCTGCAGCTGCACCTCTGGGATTAATCCTTCMTCCGAGAATTTGTTAATCTTTTTCGGAAAAATTAATGCTCTGACCTCTCCACCCTCAGGTTAGTTATGATTTCATAAAAATATTTCCTGGAATTTCAGTGCTGCTGGCTGATTGCTGTTTGTTCTCTCATTTCTGCGTGGTTGAGCCTCCCCCTGTTCATTGTTCACCCCCCAAATCACCCGGAAAAAAGGGGATTTTTTGGGATTTTTTTTGTTTTTACAGCACTGAGATCCTCTGTGCAATGGGATTTCAGAGCAGCACAGACACCCCGGAACATTCCGGAATGGCACAACCGCTCTGTTATTTTGTRCATAACAATTTCTGATATTTCCTTTCACATTTTTGAGTCATGCAGAAT